TGTTCCTATTGCCAAGAGGAAGGGTGTGAGATCTTGTACTTAACATCCTATCTCACATTTTGTGTCATACTCTCATTTGTCATCCTCATATAGAGTGTTTGTGTCAAATATTTCCTTTGTTAGCATTCCAAACCATTTTCAAGATGCTCTTGCAACCTCAGAGTGGAAACTAGCCATGATTGAGGAAATGAAAGCACTTAGGAAGAATGGCACTTGGGAATTGACTGAGTTACCTACGGGCAAACGACCTGTGGGATGTAAATGGGTGTATACTGTGAAACACAAAGCAGATGGTTCTATTGAGCGTTACAAGGCAAGACTTGTGGCAAAAGGGTTCACTCAGACATATGGCATTGATTATCAGGAGACCTTCGCACCCGTGGCTAAGATGAATTCAGTCAGAGTACTTCTCTCTCTAGCAGCTAATCTAGATTGGCCGCTTTATCGGTTTGATGTCAAGAATGTCTTTCTCCATGGTGATCTCAAAGAAGAGGTATATATGGACATTCCTCCTGGTTTTGAGGACCATTAGACAGAAGGCAAAGTATGCAAGCTTCGGAAGTCATTATATGGTCTCAAATAGTCTTCAAGGGCTTGGTTTGAGAGATTCACTCAGGCTATGCTTAAATATGGCTTCAAACAGAGTCAGGCAGATCACACATTGTTTGTGAAACATTCCTCACATGGTAAGACTACAACACTTATTATTTATGTAGATGACATAGTTCTTACGGGCAATGATAGTGGGGAAATACCTCTGTTGAAGAAATATTTAGCTAGTGAGTTTGAAATCAAAGACTTGGGAAGCTTGAAGTATTTTCTGGGAATTGAAGTTGCTCACTCCAAGGATGGGATATTTATCTCATAGAGAAAATATGTGCTTAACCTGTTGAAAGAAACTGGGATGCTTGGCTGCAAGGCATGTGACACTCCACTGGAACCCAATAAGAAATTAGGAGATGATGAAGGGGGAGAAGCTGTTGATAGGGGGAGCTATCAGCGATTAGTAGGTAAGCTCATTTACCTATCTCACTCCCGTCCTGATATTGCTGTTGCTGTCAGTGTGATTAGTCAGTTTATGCATGCTCCTCATCAGATTCACTTTGAGGCTGTCATGAGAATCTTGAGGTACTTGAAGTCTGCTCTTGGTAAGGGTCTTTATTTTTCAAAATATGATCATCTTCGTGTGGAAGCCTATACAGATGCTGACTGGGCTGTATCCGTAACTGATAGGAGATCGACTTCAGGGTATTGCAATGTTGGAGGCAACCTAGTTACTTGGAGGAGTAAGAAACAGAATGTGGTTGCCAGGTTAAGTGCAGAAGCTGAGTTTAGAGCTATGACACAAGGGGTGTGTGAGTTTTTATGGATCAAGTTATTGTTGAGTGATCTAGGTATTGATCAGACGGACTCCATGCGGTTATACTGTGATAATAAGGCCGCTATCAACATCGTTCACAATCCGGTTCAACATGACAGGACAAAACATGTTGAGATTGATCGCCACTTCATTAAGGAGAAACTCACTAGTGGTACCATTTGTATTCTTTTTGTCCAGTCTGGTGAACAACTTACTGACATTTTCACCAAGGGGGTTGGGAATAAGCCATTTTATGACATATTAGGCAAGCTGGGCATGAGTGATATCTTCGCACTAGCTTGAGGGGGAGTGTTAGCATATTATATTATTATATTATTATCTGAGTTATTAGTTTGTAATTATTCTATGCCTTAGGGCTCCCTTGTAATTTTTACAAACTTTGATCTTCATTAATATAAATAGGGGATGATATCCTATCAAACCCTAAGTTGGTTACTCTCTAAAAGCATCAGTTACCGCCACCTGTTACGGCCACTGTAGTGGTGTGATGGAAATTCACATGTGTAATGGCCGTTTCGGTGTTATGTAACGGCTGTAATGGTCCGTTACGCACTTTTATAATACTCTGAATAGTTTCATTTCCCCCCCCCCAAAAAAAACAAAAGCTTACCAAAAAAAAAAAAAAAAAATACTCAAGTGATTCAATCCCAAAGAAAAAAATCTTATATGATTTTTTTTTTTTAAATTTATGGCACACTTTTTATTTTATAATCTTTTCATTCAATAATTGTGAATATTTTTTTATTCAGTTAGTTTAGGTATTGGTAAAAAATAATTTGTAGACATTTAAAATCAATTATTCTTAAAATCATTAACTATTAAAATAAAATTTAAAAAGCTCTTTTTATAGTGATTTGAAAATATGAAATATCTATGAAGCATGGACATGCCAAAATGGAAGTCGTGGCGGTTTCGGATACGGGGACACGGCAGGGACACGTGGCGTGTCTCTTTAATTTAATTTATTTTTTTTGCAAATGGCACAACGGGGACACGTGTGTCCAAATTTGGACACGCTATGGGCTTAGTTGCAGCTTTGCTCTAGCCCAAGATGGGATCGTAAAGGGAAGAGAGAGAGAGAGACAGAGAGACCTGGTAGCAGCTTTGCTCTAGCCCTAGCCTTCACCTTCGACTTCGACATCGAGTGGTAGTAGCTTTGTAGTTGGATTGGATTAGGGCTTCGATCATTTGGGGCCTTCGCCTGTCGATCTCGATCTCTGAGGGCTTCGTCTCTGTTCTCTCTCTGATCATATATAATATATATAATATGATTTATCATATTATATATATATATATATCATATATAATAAAATATCTGATGGTTATTTCTTAAAATATCATATATGATAATAATTTTTGTAAATTATTATTTCTTAAACTTTTTAACATATAATAAATAAAGTTAATCATCCAATTATTTAAAAAAAATCTAATTAAATCATATAATAAAAAAATTATAAAATAAAATATTAAAATTTTCTTTTTCTTTTTTTTTTTTTTTTTTTTTTATTCTTTTTATTCCTTATTTGTTATATTTTTTATTTATTTATAATATATATCAATTAAAAATAAAAAAATAAATTAATAATAACACATTATTTAAAAAATATAATATATAAATAAAAATAAAAGTATTTATAAAAAAAATTAAAAAATTTACTGTGTTCCCTACCGTTTCCGTGTCCCTATTTTTCAAAAATTGCCGTGTCCGTGTACGTGTCCGTGTTCGTGCTTCATAGTGACATATGTTAGATCATACTTTAAAGTTAACAAAAATTGATCAAATTTTATTTTGAACCCCAATAAATGTGATTCTGAAAAAAAAAAAATGCCGAATCGGTAAGTTTTCTTCAAATTGTGCAAAAAATAAAAAAATTTATGGTTCCGATTACTGCAACCATTACGTTACGGCCTTTACACTTCGCAACCACAACCACTTTTCAAACCTTGGTAGTGACAAAGTATTTAATACCCATGTATAGAAATGGAAGAGATACTTCAAGTTGTACAAAATATAGGGCTATTTGAGGTTATGGATCATCTTATAAAACTTTTAAGATCGAGTGATTAAGCCTTTAGTGAGACTTGACACAATAGCATTATAAAATCAATTTGATTCATACTCAGGAGGTTAACAATAAAATAACGTCCAATTAGTATACATTAATGTGTGTTTGAGAGGGGAAAGATTAGGTGCACACCTAATCTTTGGCATAGTGCACAAAGTGATTTATTTATTAGAGTGATTAATGAAAAAGTATAAGAAAAAATGAAAGATCTTCGATTGGTTTTATAAACTTGGAGAAAGCCAGTGACAAGGTCTCTAGAGATATAATATGGTCAGCTTTGGAAAAGAAAGCAGTCACAAATAGATATATTGAAATGATAAAGGACTTGTATGATGGAACTATGGCCACGCGAGAACAACTGTATCCGTAGGAGAAACTTGTGTTTCCCTATTGCTGAAGGTCTGCATTAGGGTCACCAAAGGCCAACGTTAAGCCCTTGTCTTTTTTTATTATTGTTCTTCATGTTGTTTTATCGAATAAAACAAATGTAGGGGAAAATGTTCAATTAAAAGTTCAAGTAGAATGTGAAAAGGGTCTAAGTATGATTAAAAATTGAATATGTTGCATTAATTTCAGTTAAAACAGAAAATAAAAATGGGGGGGTGTTTATAACTGAAGGCCAATAAATACCAAAAAATGAACAATTTCGATACCTAGCCTTGATTATGCATATGGAGACAGAGGTTGGTAATGATGTTACAAAGTGTAGGAGTGCTTTCGGAGTATTGTGTGATTGATGCACGCCCATGAGGTCAAAAGTAAAATTCTACAAACCGACTACTAGACCAAGAGTGCATAAAGGCACAAATATTCCAATATTCAAGAAATATGTTCATAAGCCAATCATGAGGATGTTGAGGTGGACGTGGATGTACAACAAAACTAAGAAAGATGAAATTAGGAATAACATAATTCGTCCTCTACTATTGAACATAAAATGTGAAAAACTCAATTAAGATGGTTTTGTCCATGTTCAAAGAGGACTGATTGTTGCCCAATTAGGAAGGTTGACATTGACCGTGCTGTGGATAATACTAAGGGATGAAGAAGTTCAAAATTAACTTGGGTTAAGATACTAACAAAAGATATGTTAGTTTGTGGTTTAACTAAAATTATGGTCCCTTGTTCAAGCTGAATGTGGACTTGATTCATATAGGCGACCCCAAGTAGTAGATAGGGACACATCTTCGTTGAGTTGCGCTGTATTTCTTAGACACTACAGTGCCATGAACTTTGGGTCTCATTCCTAGTACCATATTAATCTCAACCTTAAAAAATATGTTTGTTGTTATTAATTGGAAGGAAAAACCAAAATAAAAATACCTTTATATGATAGCTATCCATGTTGGACTGTTGCATTTAATTAGCATTAACATTTCATTGTTAGGATTGAGTTTCACATACCCATGAAAATGTGAGAATATTCGGTTTTATATATATATACTACCATATATACATAAATCCCATATATACATAAAACCGAATATTCTCACAGAAAAATCATAATCCTTGATCATATAGTTATATTTCTTTGTTCCCTCTTCCATCAGGTTAAGGTTGCAGTACAGTACATGCGGCGGGTAATTCAAAAGAAGGCAAACTTTGATATTATGGACCTTAATTGTATACAGGTTTGTGTGCATTCATCCTCAAGAATGATGACTTTGGCCTTTCTATCCTACCATCATTATATTTTTTTTTGGTTCAACTAATTTATGAATCCAACAAATCACTTTACAGGAGAATTTTATTTGATTGTGAAATTTATTACTTAATATGTTATACAAATTAAGCTGGATACAACTGTTTATTTTTTGGGTGTGTGTGTGTGTCCATATTTCTCCTGTATGATATGTAAAATTGTGCAAATAATTTTGGCCATTATTATTTCATATTTTTTATGTTGCATAACGTGTGCAGGTTGCACCCAAAACATTTATTCCTGCTTTATTTGGACATGCTAATGATGACAAATTTATTCAACCTCACCACTCTGACCGCATCTTTAAGTCATATGTGGTACTAACTAATCCAAATATCTATGGTCTTCTCTTAAAGTAATAACCTTTATAAAATATTTACCATTTGTTTGTGATTTGTGCAGGGGGATAAAAATATAATAAAATTTGATGGTGATCACAACTCTTCTCGACCACAGTTTTATTATGATTCAGTATCCATTTTCTTCCATAACATCCTTCATCCCCCTCGAGTTTCTTCTGTTCATGCAAGTAAGCTTGAGAAATATTATGATTTGGGGGACTTAAAAGTCAGCACTGGTATGGATGAGGTAATTTAATTTCATAATGTATCTTTTGTAAATATTGTTTTGATGGACTACTTAACAGCTCTGAGCTTGCTTCCCTTTTAATTAAAATTTTGTTTTCTTACTTCTACTCCCAGCTTTAAGAATTTGTGCCTACACATCTCAAGTAGAACCAATGAGCTCTGATTGCAACTGGTCTAATGATGTTGTCCCAATCCTCCTAGCAAGAGGCTGGGAGTTTGAGCTACACCTCTGCACTGCATATACAGTTAAGTCCAGTTATGACGGGGGCCATAATTTACTTAGGGATATGCAGTCTACGCTCACATGGTCAGAAGCATTGTACTGAAAAAATGCAATAGCATACTTCTGAACACTAAAACCTTGCCTACTTAAAATAACCGTCACAGCCCAGAGAGGCTAGGACAAACAAACACAGGTAAATAAATTACCCATAAAATGCAACACATTAAATCTGTCCATGAGCCTTCAAATAGCCCACAGACTATAAATAAGATCACATGCGTGCTGAAAGTTCATGTGAATTGAAGCATATGGGCACAAATTAGATGGAGATTAGTTGAAGGGAGAGAGCTAGGTTCTTGTGGCTTAAAGGAGATAGAAATATATATATATATATATATATATTTCACAAGATAGCTAATGCCCACAGGAGGTGCAACCGTGCAACCATATAGGAAGTGTCAGGGTGAATGGAGTGGTGATGAGGAGGAGGAGATCCAGGGAGGAGCTAGTTTGTTTCCATAAGCAGTTGCATACTGAGAATTGCGAAAGGAGTCCTTGTTTGGATGGCTTAGAGTTTGTTTCTCTTTCTAAGCAGATGTAATATAACGGAATTGGAAAAATCTTTTTCTAAAGAGAAGATTGTGGCAACTCTTAGAGACTACAACGGGGACAAAGCACCTGGACTAGACGAGATGACCACGGATTTTCTTCTTGCAGGTTGGAGCATTGTGAGAGGGTGGGTACTGGCTTTATTTCAGTACTTGAATGAGCATGGCAAGTTTGATGGGATGCATCAATAATAGGCCCTGAGATTGAGGAATGTGGTGGGATTAGTGGTTTCGGATTCCCAAAATACTTTTGTTAATGCAAGATAGATTTTAGTTGTGGTTCTCATTGCTAATGAAGTGGTAGATTCAAGAATTAGGAGTGGAGCCTTAGGTGTGATATGAAAACTAGACCTAGAGAATGCATATGATAATGTAAATTTGGGTTCCCTAATTTATATGATGTAAAGGATGGATTTTGGGATAGGTGGAGATCAAGGTTGTTAAAGTCGGGATCCTATGTTGGATCGTTGGAGGTGTTTATAGGATCGGATCGTAGAATCGGATCGAGGATCGTAAGATCCTACCGAAAATGACAAATTACATAATAATTTAATTTAAATAAATATTTCTTATAAAGTACACACAAAATGAACCTATATTTTATTAAAAAGAAGTGAAGATATTGTGAAAAATATAATACTCCATATAATATTATGCAATAGAAAACTCGATGGTAAAAGTTCTGTATTTTATCAAAAAAGAAGGTGAAGAAGAAGAAGAATTCTATAACAAAATACTTTACAATGTACAATAATGCATAAAAAGTGAAGAAAAAATATTTAACAAAATTGGATATGAAAATAGATTAAGAACTCAAAAGAGTAGCTTAGTCGAATGATAAGGTTTGTCGTTAGCATCCCTGGTGGAGCGGATTCGAGTCACAAAAATAATTTTTTCAGAAATTGGGATAAAGTTACAATCATCTTACCCTTCTTAGACTCCGCTAAAGCTAAGTTTGTTTTTCCGACTATTTAATTTCTTAAATTACCGCAATATTTGAATGTTTGTTTCCTAGTTTGTTTTTCTTAGTCTATTTGATTCAATACTACTTAATTTTTGTTATTTGTTTTGACAACATAAATTAATATTTAGACAACAAATATAAAATTTACAACAAAATATGTCATAAATTAGATCGGATTCGGATCGGGATTCCACGATCTTATAAGATCCCACTACCAGGATTGAAAGATCCTGCCTATAAGGAGTTTTTTACACGATCCGGATCGATTGCACTCAAATGGATCGTAAGATCGTAGGATCGTAAGATCCGGATCGGGATTCTGATAACCATGGTGGAGATCGTGGATTCTTTTTTTTTTTCCTGTGTGTGTGCGCGCGCACGTGTGTGTTTGTGTGCATTTGGCAGCAATGTTTTCAATCTTGGTTAATTGGTCTCCAACAGGTTACTTTTCTAGACCTAGCGGCGTGAGATAGGATAGGATGATCCATTATCTCCCCTTTTGTCCATCCTAGTGATGGAGGCTTTGAGTAGATTCTTATGTAGAGCGGTTGAGAGGGGCATGATTATGGGGTTTGAAGTAGGCAGAATTGGTGGCACTTTTGAAATGGTGTTTCACTTGTTTGTTGATATCCCATCATCTTTTGTGGAGCAGAGGAGGAAGAGCTTAGGCATTTGAGATGTGTACTTGTATGTTTTGAAGTTGTTTCTTGACTCAAAGTAAATGTGGGCAAGAGTGAAATCATTCCAGTAAGTACTGTTCAGGATGTTCAAAGACCGGAGGAGAACTAGTTTTAGATGGGAGCTCTTTTTTTTTTTTTTTTTTGAGATAAATAATCAAACTTTATTAGAAAAGTATCAAGGCGATGCAAAAAAAAAAAAAAAAAAAAAAAAAAAAAAAAAAAAAAAAACCCCCAAACCTCCTAGTTGGAGAGAGACCAACAAAAAAAAAAAAAAAAAAAAAAACAAAGAATAGAAAACCCTCGAAGGGCCCAAAAACTTAGCTAATCAAATCCTCCCCAAAATCTATAAAAGCCAAAACATCTGGATCTATTGAACCCATAACCCAATTGTGTAACATCAGAAGAAGCTAGCTCTCTAACTGAGGACCTGAATGAGACACACTTATTGCGCTCCATCTAAACCAACCAAAGTAAACAATGGGAAGCAAGTAACCAAGCCTTCCGATGCCTTCTCCCAACCCTAACCCCACCCCAACTCTGCAACACACACAACATGGAGCCTGGATGCACCCAAACCAAGCCGAAAATTGCAACAATCAATATCCAAAACCGAGACGCAACCGGACAATGAATAAACAAGTGATCCACTGTCTCTGCATCCCCATAGCATATACAACACCAATTCACCAAAACGTGTAGACGATGAATTAAATTGTCAATAGTCACAATGCGGCCCAAAGATGCCGTCCAAACGAAAAAAGCTACCTTAGATTGTAACCCCGTCACCCATATACACTTTCAAGGAAAAACAACAACATCATCACCTACATTCACACTATAAAATGAAGATACCGAAAAAATCCTTTAGACCTTGGACAATACCACACCAAAGAATTCACCCCATCCCCCCCCAACATGCACTCCATTCCAAAATCCCAAAAGATCCACTAACTGATCTAGCTCCCAATCCTGAACATCACGATGCAAATGAACATACCAAACAAACGACTACCCCTTCCTAGCCCTAATAGAGGCCACCACCTCCTCACCATCAGCTGCAAAATCATATATTAAAGGAAACATCCTCGCCAAGGACAACCTACCATACCACCTGTCCTGCCAAAAACGAACCCTATACCCCACCCCTACATTAAACCAAATCCTATCTTGAAACTCCTTCCGACCTAACCAAATCCCCTTCCACAAACCTTGGCCATGAGATTGGCCCACCCAATTTGTAACCCCCCTCCCAACCCATACTTGGCCACCACCACCTTCCTCTATAGCCTCTCCCACTCCTTAACAAAACGCCACAACTATTTCCCCAAAAGAGCCCGATTAAACACAACTAACTTTCTAACTCCCAAACCGCCTCTCTCCTTAGGAGTACAAATCCTCGTTTTAGATGGGAGCTCTTCCTTCAAAGCTATCTCTGTTTGGCACTATATCATTGAAAGAATGGAGAAAAGGCTGGCTGTAGAAAAGACAGTATCTCTACAAGGGGAGGGAAGCTGACACTTAACAAGAGTTTCATTGGCGAGCTTACCCACCTACGTCATGTCGCTTTTCACTATTCTGAGCTTATTCCAGATTGCTTTGGATAAGGAATCTTGGGTTTTAGATTGTCCAAGGATCAAAGAGACAGGTACAATGTGGGAACCTACTTTTATTTGGGGGATGTGGGATTGGGAATTGGATATGATGGGAGAATTCTTGCGGGTTCTATATGAGGAGCTGGGCTTTAGAACACGTCAGAATAAAATGTTTAGAACACATCAGAATATAATGGTTTGGGCAATTAATTGTGGGAGGTTCTCTGTTGAGTCCTTTCATCATCTCCTAAGTGATGCTTGTAGAGCTAATTTCCATTGGAAGATCATTTGGAGTGCCAGGGTTCCTATGAAGGTATTGTTTTTGTTTTGAAATCAGCTTTTGATGCAGCCTTGATATTGGATAACTTGGGTAAGAGGGAGTGATGCTGCCCAACTGGTGCATTATGTATTAGAAGGCCAAGGAGACTCTGAATCATGTATTATTATCCTGTGACATGACCATATAACTAAAGCAATACCTAAGAGCATAGTTTGAGAGGCTATATACTAGAATATGGATACAACTTAGTTGCACGAAGCGGGAGCGGGCGCGGGGAAATGTTGCCATTTAGAGGAGTCGTAAATTAGGAGCGCTTATGTATTATTTTTATTAATTATATTTTATTTATTATAATGAATAATAAATTATGTTAAAATAAATAATAAATAAAAATTAGATGTTTTATTTTATAAATTTTTTAAGATTTTTTTATTATATATGATTTAAATAGATTTCTTTTTAACAATTTGATGATTTATTATATGTTAAAAAGTTAAGAAATAATTGTTAAAAAAATAAATAATAAATAAAAATTATATTATATATGATAAAATAAATAATTTTTTATTTTACAAATAAAAATTATATTGTTTATGATAAATTTATAATTTATAAATTATATTATAATTTATAATTTATAAATTATTATATATATATATTATATGATAAATTATATGTTTATAAAACAATGAAAACGGAGAGAGAGAGAGAGAGAACATAATAGATCGAGAGAGGGAGAAGCAAGAGGCGCAACAGAGATGAAGAAAGAGAGAAGCAGAGACGAAGAGGAGATCGAGGGTAAGAGAAGAGAGAGAGAGAGAGACGAAGACCTAGGGCTTCGAAGAGAGGGACGAAGACTAGGGCTTCGACAGGGAAGTCAAACGGCGAGATCGAAGTCGTTGAATAGAGGATCGAAGCCAGCGATCAGGTACTCTCCTTGCTCTCTCAATAGTGCTCCCTTCTCGCATCAGATTTGCGTTTCTGCTGCGATTCTTCCTCAGAAGTGCAAAATCGCGCTTTTTCCTCAGAGTCGTCGCCATCTGAAACGATTCTTGCTACTAAGAGACGGAGTCAAGTAGAGACTCTGAATCATTTTTATTTTTCAAAGAAAGTACATCCTGGATCTTTTGTAAGACCTATTGAATGTAATCACAAACTAGGTGAAGACGTCAAGGTTGCTAGTGTGGATGCAGGACGATACCAGACATCAATGGATGAAACTCATTTTTATTTGTCATAACACACATCCAACATGATATTGCTTATGCAGTGAGTGTGTAAGTCAGTAAATGCACGCAATCATGCCTCTCAACTGGAAGCAGTTTTTTTGGATTGTTTGGTAGGTAAAATCTGTTATGGAGAAGGTTGTCTGTTTTTGAAACATGGTTTACAGACGAGTCTTAAACTAATGCTGAATGGGTAGGCTCAATAAAAAGAGATCCGTGTCATGCTATTGTACTTTTGTGGGTGGTAATTTAGTGACTTAACAAAGTAGAAATTATCACTTGTTGCTACATCAAGAGTGGAAGCTGAGTTTAGAGCAGTGGCTTATGGAGTTTGCGAACTACTTGGCCAAAAATTATGAGGAATTAGGTTTTGTCTTTAAAGATCCCATAAGGTTCTACTGCAATAAGAAAACAATTATGAACTTTGCTCACAATCCTGTATGATATGATATTTTACCCCTTCTGTGAAAATGGGAGATTAGTTTGCTAATGCCTTGGCAAAAGGATACCAACTACCAAGCAAAAGCTTTCATGTTAATTTGTCCAAGCTGAGCATATGACTGCTTTACACCACTTTGAGGGGGGAGTGTAAGTTATTATGAATTGTTGTAAAGGCTATTTTGTTATTTTATTCACCCGAAAAAAAAAAAAAAATTTGTTTTTTCTTCACATATAGTGTCATGATATGAAGTTTGTGGGAACTCTCTCTCTCTCTCTCTGACTGTCTGTGTGTCTCTATTTTATTGTTCATTCTTCTCTTCTTTTCTGAACTATGGGAAATCAACTATAACATATCAGCTTCTTTTGTTTTCAGAGTCTGCTATATGAGATAATTGCTGGTCTTCGAACTGTGGGTACTGATGTTGCAAGTTCTTCATCTGCTCCACCTGGCATTTCAACCACAAAATCTGTCAGTGAGCTTCTTACTGATGTTGCCCCCGTTGCAAGTGTAATTGTATGAGCTCTCCTGGTTTAGTCACATTTTTTCCCCTAATCATTATTTTTGTATGAACTATATTGTTATTTCTTAATTGTTTATGTAACTGCAGGATTCGATGATCAATGAAGCTAATGCACTTGTTGGGGATGATCCATCAGAAATGCAGGTGATTTTAGTTCAGGATATTCATCAAATCTTAAATTATCTTTAACTCTAAAAAATGGGTTCAATTCCCAATATAAAGCCATTGATTGATACTAGTTCTTTGTGAACCCAGAAGTTCTTGGGAAAATAACAATTAAGTGGAATCTAGGGCAACAAATTACAAAATGATGATTATTTTATTTATTTATTTATTTTTGTTATTATTTTTATTTACACTAGGAATGGAAAGAACAGAAGAAAGCAAAATCATGGAATGCCATTTTTTTGCCCATTTTTACTCCTTTCTCTTTCCTTCTCCCTCTCTCTCCTCTTGCCCTCCCACCATCGGCCACTGCTCCCCCGGCATCCCCAGCCCCAATCATTCTTTACTCACCCTTTCCCACCATCCCTCCTTGTTGGCCTGCCTAATCATCATCAACAACAATGAAATAAAGCAAAAATTAAAGAAAAGAGAGGACATGAAGACCGAAGCTATATAACAGTGGCTTGCAATGGGGATTTGGGGCGGGGTCACGGTGGTGGCCATTGGTGGCTGGGATTGGGGGAGAGGGGGAGTGTGGTGAGGATTCCACCCCATTTGTAATTGTTTTATTTTTTTCCACGTGTTACAATAAAAAAAATCTGCCATTTAGTAATTTGTTTCCCCAATTTCCACTGAATTATTCTTTTCTCAAAGTTCTTCCACATGGGTTTGACGTGAAGATAGTTCTTCCTAGAAGAACACGCATGTGTGGTATCATTTTCAGAAACAGTTTTCTATTCTCGATCGTAGAAAAACTGAAAACTGATACGGAAAACTTCATTGGCAATCAAAAACTATTCTAGAAAGCTTCTTGAAAACACCCTGTTCTTGAAAACACCCTGTTAAAGTTGTTTTCTGAACTGGGTTGATTACACTTTAACCCCCCATGTGATCCAGAATTCTACACATAACCCCCTTAAGGTTGAGGATTAATTTAAGTGCAAAATTATTGAAATCTGTTCAAGATAACAGTGTGTTTTCTCAAAATGCATGAAATTTGTGATAAGATAGATAAAATTTGAAGAACAAAATTACTTTACTACCCTTGCTTAAAACTTTCGTTATCTTTTTTTTCTTCTCCATTCCTCACCTAGCATGGACACCTCTCCGGTGGTCACATATCTGTGTCTGACGTGGACTCGCTCTGCACACGTGTTAGACAAGCTAGAAGAAGTTGGACACGCTGAGAATAAATTTTTGATAGAGTACACATAATATCAAAAAAACAGGACGTATTAGTTATATAAAATTATGTGCTTTGCACGTGTCTCTCACGTTTCATGTCCTACATTTTTGAAAATTTGTGTTGTGTCTGTTGCGTGCCATGTGTTTGTGTCCATGCCTCTTAGTTCCTCACAATTTGCACCACCTTAACCCTCCACCGTGCTTCGACTGCCATTGCCGAAGTCTCTCTTTCTTTTTACTTTCTTACTAGCTATCTTCATTCTCTACTTTACTTTTTTGGTTTGACTGTGAGGTCTTGACCCGAAGGGAGTACGTCACATGATTTACTGTAAAGGAGTGATGGTAGTGTAGAGAGAAAAAATGAGATTGAGAATGGGAGAATTAAAGTGGGAAATGGTTTACTTTTTTGTATGATAAAACAAGAGGCAAATGAAGATTCAGAGATGAAAATGATGGTGCTTGGCTGGTTGTGTCAAGGAGTAGGCTGGGGGCCAAAGGCGTATGGCTGACAGTGGTTGGTCTCCATGGTGTGCGCCCGACATCTACCGCCAACCACACTACTTATCTCTCATTTTTCTCTCTAAATTCACAACACACACCCATGCACTCACACACATTACACCCAACATCTGCAAGTTCTCTGCCTATTTTATTGTTCCTTTATTCTGCCGGCTTTTTTTTTCCTACTCCATGACAGCTACTCTGTTTCTTGTGAATATTATTGGTTCATGGGCAGCTTTTGTTACTTGCCTTATAGATTTTGCTTAATCCATTTGCCATATGTGTTATTACTTCTTATATCGCCATTCTTGTTGGGAGGTCCTCTAGACAGCAGTATTTTCCAATTGATGGGTGACTCGAAATCCATTTGTTCTAAGTGGACCCATTCTCATGTCGGTCTGTTCATAGTCTTGTGGATGAGGTGATAAACAATGAAAATAAAGTAAAAGAATGATGGAGGACAGCAGTTGTTGGAGATAATATTTATTGTCAGGTGTGTGTGTGAGAGAGAGAGAGGTTCAAATGGGTATGTCCTAATTTAGGTTTGACCCATAACACATTTGACAATAGAACAAAAGCACATAGAAATTAGGAAAAAAGAGTTGGGCTAATTTAGACATTTCACACAAACTAGTTCTGTCATGTTTTTGCATTGGGAAATTCTATTTTCAAAGTATTTATTGTCTTAGCACACACTGCCAAGTACTACACCACACAACACAAATTGAATTTTTTGATATCAATTTTCATATAATACGAAATTACCCTCTTGTCTCCAGCAAACGCTAACCCTAACGCTTACCACAAAAGAACGAAAAGAATAGTATTGGCTTATCTATGAATGTGGTAGAGGCCATATATATATAATATATTCGTGATACAATTTAGGAAACAATATAAATAAGGCTCTAAATCTATGATTCATACAATCACGGATTTTATCAATCTACCAAAAATAAAAATATTCTAATTTCTATAGTCAACATTCTAATTCCTATATTCAACACTCCCCCTAAAACTGGCGTGAAGACATTCAACAAACGTAGCTTGTTAATGGATGACTAGAGTAACATCTGTCCACAGACTTTGTGAACATGTTTACTAACTGCTAAGAAGAAGAGACAAAGGATGGACTCACAATGTTAGTCCGAACCTTTTCTCTAAGAAATGTATGTCAACCTCAATATGTTTGGTACGCTCATGAAGTACAGAATCAAGGGATAATATAATGGTAGATTTTCTATCACAAAATAAATAGGAAGGTGCAACTCCTCAAAACCCAACTTTGCCATAATAGAGTGAAGCCAAAAAATCTTACATGTCCCATGTGCCATAGCCCGATATTTAGCCTCTGCAAAATAACTAGAAACAATTGCTTATTTCTTACTTTTCCATAATATAAGATGGTCACCATAGAAAGTACAAAAGCTAGAAGTGGAACGTTGATTAGTCCTGGATCTTGCATAGTCAATATCGGTGAAACGCGAGTCCAGAGTGTATTTTCTTTGAGACGAGGAAATCCCCTGCCTTGAGCGAGCCACTTTAATTCCCAGAAAATATTTAAGACATCCCAGATCCTTAATATCGAAAGTTTGGCTCAAGTCCTTCTTTACTTGACCAATGCTAAGAGAGCCATCACTCGTGAGAATAATGTCAACCACATAAACTAACAAGACTATACATTGACCTACTGAGTGGCACTGAATAAAGCCCATAGATATGATAACAGAACTAAAGTGACCAAATCATGTTAGTGGAGATTGTTTTAGACCATACAAAGATTTGCGTAACCGATACACTTTTCCCAAATACTCCTCCTTAGCCTGAAACCTGTGGTGGAGGAGCCATGTAAATCATCTCAAAGAGATCCTCATGAAAAAACGCATTCTTGACATCAAGCTAATGAAGGGGCCAAGAATGTGATACTACAGGAGAGATAAGGAGATGCACAGAAGTAAGCTTGGCGATAGGGGCAAAAGTGGCGCCAAAATCCTTGCTAGGGATCTGTGTGAAACCTTTGACCACCAGACGGGCTTTGTAATGATCAATTGAGCCATCAGTAAGGTACTTTATAGTGAACGCCTCTTTGTAACCAAGAGTGCTTGCCCCAGGAGGTAAAGGTATAAGATCCCAAGTGTGATTCTGTTCTAAGGCTACCATCTCAGTCTGTATAGCCTTTACCCATTTGGGATTCTCTCAAGTTTGCTAAGAAAAGAACAATAAGAATTGGAAACTCAGTCATGTGAAAGAGATTGGGAAATGGGATGATTAGTACTACTCAAATAACCCCAACGATCTGGAGGATGTTGATCCCGAGGTGGGTAACAACAAGGAGGTGGAGGAGATTGAGCTAAAGGAAAAGAGTTACTTGACCCAGAGATCGGAGAGGCGGTAGTGTGCAGTTGAGTGCGTGGGCGATGAAAGTATACCTGCAATAAAGGGGGAAGGAGGTGAAGGTTGAGAAGGAGAGAGGGGAACAACCTCATCCTCAATCTCGTCTAAAATGTCCACTAGGCGAACACTGGAAGTAACGGGAGGAGAAGCCTACAAAGGAGGGTTAGTACCAAAGAAAGGAAGATCCTCACAAAATGTAACATCTAAAGTGTAGTAAAAGTGATGAGATACTAGATCATAACACCTATACCTTTTGGATATGGAAGAGTACCCTAAGAAGACACAATGAATAGATGTGTCAGCTAACTTAGTGCGAGTGAGACTCTGATTTTGAACAAAAGAGGTACATCCAAAGACACAAGGTAAGAGAAGAAACATAATGGTAGTGAGCACAAGGATATGAAATGGAGTGAGACCATGCAACACATGACTAGGGGTCCTATTAATGAGGTAAACAACAGTAAGGACAACCATATGCCAATAAGACTTGGAAACACCCATACCCTGAAGAAGACACCAAACAATAGACATAATATGACGGTTTTTGTAGTTAGCAACACCATTTTGTTCAGAGGTCCGAAGACAAGTAAGTTGTTGAAGAATACCAGTTTGATTAAGATATGAACGAAATTCATTAGAAATATATTCCCTACCATTATCAGAACAAATATTCCTAATAATTGTATGAAACTGAGTTTCAAATATTTGTAAAAATTGAACAAAAATGAGAAATACGTCAGACTTACGACACAGTAGATAAACCCAAATGCACCTAGTGTGATCATCAATAAAAGTGACATAATATCTATGATAAGAAAAAGCAGTAAAAGCATTGGGAGCACGAGTTCAATGAGGGATATAACTAGTACAAGTATGCTTAGACAACTCACAAACCATAC